AAACAGACAAGGGCAGCAATGCAAAAAAGTGAAAAAGTGAAAGTGTAACATTGCCAATAGATATAAGTATAACATGCACAAAACAGACAGTCCAAGAGATGGCATGGAGGGAAGGGGGCATGTGGGTCCACATGATGTACTTTGCCAATGTTTTATTAGGCACACCGATGTTCTGATGCCCTGTACAGGTGGAGACTGTGTGGCTGATCAAAGGGCATGGCATCCAGGCAGCAGACAGTCGCCAACAGTGTGTTTGGGCAGTGATGCACATGCATGATGAGGAGGCAACCAAAAAAAATAAACATGATGCTGTGCCTTTTAGTCGGGCTGTGCACATTTGAGCTACCTTGGGAGCTGCCAGTGCGGACAATGGGGTTTCGACCTGCTTCTGGAAAATGCAGGTTCAAGCTGCTTTTTGCTGCTTGTTTGTTCCTAAATCTGCATCCACACTGCAGAAATAATTCACTTTGACACCACTTTAACTGCCATGGCTCAATGCTATGAGATTCTGGGAATTATACTTTTTTGAGACATTTAGCCTTCTCTGTCAGAGAGCTTTGATGCCACAACAAAGTACGGTTCCCAGAATTTCATAGCACTGAGCCATAGCAGTTAAAGTATGTCTAACTAGATTATTTCTGCAGTGCGAATGTAGTGTAAGATCGCTTCCAAGGTCCACCTCTTTTACACATTTGAAATTTCTTTTCTCTCATTTTCAAACGTTGCCTTAAATTTATTTTATACTGTCCAGCTTGCACTGCCAGTTATTGTCCCCTTAATGGGGCTGCATTCTGCCTGGGACATGTGGTCATGCCCTCTTCTCTTTGGCCTCATTCGCTCTGTCTTTGCCTCTGCCCATTGCTGGAACACACACGAGACACATCACAAACTGCAGTTTGCTCCCAGGGCAGAAAAAGCCCCCCCTCCCCTTTTATACATAGGGTGAAAGACATAACAGAGTTTATTTATTTATTTATTTTTAAAAAAGAATGCCTAATCAGATCATTTTCATTAAAATCTAATTATATAGGGTGACACTCCTTCCAAGTATTGAGGTCCCAAGCCTTTTAGGGTTTGAACTTCATCACCAGCAAATTGTACACAAGTTGTACACAAATATTGTGTACACAAATATTGTCAATAAAATATTTTATTAAGAATATTTATGTACCACACTGTAGTCAATTGTGGTTAATAATAACATCTAAAATCACAAAAATTAGAAAAACAACAACAACAATGCAAGTTAAGTAATGATCAGTGAAACAATACAACAGAGCAAGAAAAGTCTTAAGATTTACAAGTAGGGAAAACAAAGAAGGTTTTTTCACCTGGTCTCCCCAAATCCCAGTTTGAATACTAGTACATCTTCTCTGGAGAAATCAAGATTGCTTATGCAAGATTGGAACTTTCCTTGCAAAATAGGAGGAATTTCAACACATACAATTCTAGAATTTTAGCACATACTGTTCTGCAAAAGAGGAGGATTTCAGCATATACTGTTATAGAATAGCATATTACAGTGGGCCCTTGGTATGTGCTGAGGTTTGGTTCCAAGACCCCCTTGTGGATACCAAAATCCATGGATGCTGACATCCCATTAAATACAATGGCATAATAAAATGGTGTCCGTTATATAAAATGGCAAAATCAAGGTTTGCTTTTTGGAATTTATATATTTTTAAAATACTTGCAAGCTGTAGATGCTTGAATCTGTGGATACAGAGGAAATGGCTGTATTATTGTGTGCCTTCAAGTAGTTTCCAAGTTATGGCAAGCAGAGTAATTTCTGGAACATCTAGGAGGGACCATATTACTCCGGTTCTAAAGTCCCTCCACTGGCTGCCCATTAGTTTCCGAACCCAGTACAAGGTGTTGGTTATTACCTTTAAAGCCCTAAATGGCTTGGGTCCAAACTATCTTTGGGACTGCCTTCTCCCCTATAATCCTCCCCGTGCACTCTGGTCCTCTAGGAGGAACTTACTTCAGCCACAGAGATCTAGGCCAGGGGTAGGCAACCTAAGGCCCAGGGGCCGGATATGCCCCCCCCC